GAAATATCATTTTTATTTTTTTCAATTTTTTTAGCCTAATAATACCTTCCACCTTGAGACTGCGTGGTTGCACTCGATCCCAGTACTTCACCTGGCCTTGTTTAAGTAGCTAGCCAATTCAGCTGTCCAATTGCACTTTGCTATATCTTTGTTTCAGATTTAGAAGCTGCTGCATCTTTTCTGTGAGAACCTACTTTGATGAAAAGTGATTGGGCTGACATTTTCCAAATAAGGTTACTGATGCAAAGCAACACATCAGCAACCTTACTTAGAAAAGTAAGGTTGTTCCTGACTTCAAATCCAGTGTACTTAAAATCCCTAAAATCCTGACTTCCAAACTTTAATTCTGCTTTAAGCTGATTTATGACAGTGTTTTCAAATTCACTGCTCCTATCTTCCCATCGAAAAATCATCTACCTGCATTATACACAGATCTAAGGGAGAAGTACCAAATTATAGAGGCATCGTTAGGTCATATACACGTTTATTTGACTTCAAGTGTCCTACTGCATTTTGTGTCTCTTTTGGAGGATGAAGAAAGACTTCCACTGATCTCCCTGCAGAAATGCAGCTTTAATATCAGTTGATCTCTACTCCCAAGCATTTGTCCCCAACAAAGCCAAAAAAATTCAAAATTGCTTTTCCTTTCATTGGTGAATCACTCCTTATACTGTAGTTTTTCTTCAAAACATCATGCCACTAGTCTTGCTTTTGTCTTATAAGTCTCATCAGGCCACATCTTTTTTGGCGTATATTCATCTCGGTGATAGAGCCTGTTATCCCTTATGTGGCATCTCTCTCTCCACCCCAATTCTCTCCAGCGGTGTAGCTATTGATTGCCATCTTCTATTAACTTGCCTTCTAGTTGTTTGTGGACACTTACATTTCTCCTCCTCCTGGACTTATGCTTCTGGTGGTATCCCTGGTTTATATGTATTTCTTGTCTTTTTAAATTGTGCCCTATATCCTGCCTTCTGTCTCTTTCTGGACTGCTACTGTGCATCCAGGTGCACTGTTTGAGTTTACGCTGTTTCCTTGCCTTCCTTCCTTTTACTCCATATAAACTTAAGAACTAGAAGGAGTAGGCAATTCACTCCCTTGAACCTGTTCTGCTATTTACTCTGATCATGGCTGATCTCATTTTGGCCTCATCTCCACTTTCCTGTCCAATCTCCATAACCCTTCAACCCATTACGAATTAAAAATTTGTCTATCTCTTCCTTAAATTTACTAAATGGCCCTGCATCTTCCACACTCTGAGTAGTGAATTCCATAGATGTACGATCCTTCAAGAGAAGTAATTTCTGCTTATCTCTGTTTTAAATCTGCTAAACCTCATCCTAAAACTATGACGTCTTATTCTAGGTTACCCAACATGTGGAAACATCCTTTCTACGTCGACTTTGTCAATTCCTTTTAGCATTTTATATACCTCAATTAGATCTTCCCTCATTCTAAACTCTGGAGAGTAAAGACCTAAACTATTTAATCTGTCTTCATAAATTAAACCCCTCATCTCTGGAATCAATCTTGTGAACCTCCTCTGAACTACCTCCAGTACAACTACATTCCCCTCAAACTAGGGGACCAAAATTGTATACAACTCTCCAGGTGCAGACTCAACAGTACCTTGTACAGTTGCAACAGTGCTTTCCTAATCCTACACTCTATTCCCTTACAATAAATGATAATATTCCATTTGCGTTCCTTATTACTTGCTCTACCTGCATGTTAGTTTTCTGTGATTCATGCACAAGGATACCTCTGCACCAAAGCACTTTGACATTTCTCTCCATTTAGAAAATAAGTTGTTTTCCTCTGATTAAAATAGATAACCTAACACATATCCATGTTAAACTTCATCTGCCCATTCTTTGGCCCAGTCACCTAACTTATCCAAATCCATTTGTAAATTTCTTATTTCTTCATTGCAACTTATTTTCCCACCTGTTTTCGTGTCATCTGCAAATTTGACTATAGTGCTTTCTATCCCCGCATCCAAGTCAATAACACAGATTGTAAATTGTTTGGGCTTGAGGACTTAGCTAATGCACCTAACCTACACCTCCCTGAACACTATAGGTAATTTAGCATGGCCAATCCACCTAACTTGCACATCTTTAGAATGTGGGAGGAAACTGGGGTACCCGACGGAAACCCATGCAGATGCGGGGGGGAGCATGCAAACCCCACACAGACAGTTGCTCAAGGGTGGAATCAAACCTGGGTCCCTGGCGCTGTGAGGCAGCAGTGCTAACCACTGAGCCAACGTGCCACCCCTGTTTTCTGTCGCTCCTTCAGAATCTGCAAATTAGTAATCTA